TGGCCAATGCAACGTTATGATTGGCAGCGACTACGAACCGCGCACAAAACTGATCCCACGCACTCAATTCGCACCGTCCGGTACCTAAAAACTTTATGTGTTGTCTGTTTTTCGTAATGTCTACTTTTGTCCAACAGGGCGAAAATTCGTTATTATGTTTGTATAGATTCGCCAACCGATAGAGTCGCAGTATTTTTCTTTCAGTGATATAATTGGCTAATAGTGTCTGTTCTCTGAAAACATCCGGTAGCATTTTTTTTTTCTACACAAAGTCGATAATTACCAGTCTATACTACAGTAACCTGGCGCCTCCCCAATACAAGGTGGTTATTTCATGAGCTTCGCTTTCACTTCACTTACAAATTGTAAGCTACAATGAATTCTATTGGTTGCTACTCACAAAATAGCTGAAATCGCTGCCTTTTGTTTAGTGCTTAATTGCTGTGTTAATAATTGATGCTGTTTGCTTGTGTCCTGTGAGGCGAACAGTACTTTTTTTTTTAGTAAAAATTGGGCGTTACCGTTGTTATGCCACGAATTGAAAGATCGCGTTTGCTTTGGATGCGCGACGTGATATTCTGAGCAAACTGCTCAGTGTAAGAGGTATTATCACGTTTTCCTGTACTGTGAAGTCAGCAAGAGAGTGTATACTGCCATTACTGGTACTATTTGGAAAGCACGGACCAGAAGGCATCCTGAGAGAGCTGGACATTAGCCACAGTCCTCATGCGACGCTTGCCCTGCTTCTGCTTCGCCAACAACTTCTTCTTGCGTGTACTGTCTCCGCCTCCCACCGTCTTACCCGACTTGATAAGCACATCCTTGCGGTATGGCGCGATCCGCTCCTTAGCGAAGATTTTGCCGCCTAATGCCGCCTGGATAGAGATTTCATACTGCTGTCTGTCGATCACGCGCTTGAGCTTTTGGCACAATGCTCGGCCGTCAGGTGTAGCCCGGCTTCGATGACACACAAAGGAGAGCGCATCCAGAACTTTTCCATTAATCAGCAGGTCCACCTTGACGATATCCGATTTCTGGGGCTCAATTTCGCGGTAGTTGAGCGTTGCTGAGCATAAGAAAAAAAAAATACTGTTAGAACAACATAACACAGATTAACAAAATTGTATCGACTCACCATAGCCGGACGAGATAGTCTTGAGTTCGTTGTAAAAGTTGGTGACGACCTCTTGCCACGGTACGTTGATGGTCACAATGACGCGCTCATCCTCCAAGTAGACGAGGTTCGTCTGAATGCCACGCTTCTCTTTGGCAAGTGCCAATACGGGGCCCAAGTACGACGCCGGGGTGATAATTGACGCCTCTACCATCGGTTCTAACACATCGTAGTACTTGGTCGATTCAGGGAACGCACCGGGAGTCTCCACGGTAAACTGCTTCCCTTTCGGATCGATCACAGTGTACGGGACCATCGGCGCTGTCACCATCACCTGTATACCCTGTTCATCCGATAGACGTTGGTGGAACACCTCCATGTGTAGTAACCCCAAGAAACCACAGCGGAAGCCCATGCCTAGAGCGCCACTCGTTTCCTGCTGAGCCGTCACACTAGCGTCATTCAACGTGAGTTTCTCGATAGCCACACGCAACTCGTCAAAACTCGAGTCGTCTGTAGGGTACATGCTCGCAAACACCATGCTGCGAGCCTCTTGGAAGCCCGGAAGCGCCTTCAAATCTGCAGATGCAGCGCCCTCACGGAAGAACGTGTCTCCTACTTTGGCTTCCGTTGTGGATTTCATACCGGCGATAATGTAGCCGACCTGACCAGCATACAACCCCTTGGTCTTATACCGTCCCGGTAGTAACAATCCCGTTTCTTGGACATCATGCTTCGTTTTCTGGTGTGCGCTATAAATCTTGTCACCAGGGAAAATAGCGCCGTCTACGACCTTCACCAAGCAAACGGTTCCTCGATAGTCATCGTAGTACGAGTCGACCAGTAAACACCTCAGTGGTGCACTAGGATCGCACTCTACCGGAGGGGGCAGTCGCTCTACTACTGCTGGAAGTACGTCGTTAATTCCATCTCCGCTTTTTGCCGACGTTAATAGTACGTCATCTGGGTCCACGTCCAATAGCGACGACAAGCTCAGGATACTGTCGTCCACTTCGGCGTGAGGCATGTCGATCTTGGTTAATACCGGTACGACGTGCAGATCCCTCTCTTTAGCAGCATAATACGTCGCCAATGTCTGGGCCTGAATACCCTGCGAGCAGTCAACCAGCAGCAGCACTCCTTCACAGGCTGATAGGGATCTGTTCACTTCGTAGCTAAAGTCCACGTGACCTGGTGTGTCCACCAAGTTGAGCATGAATGTCTCTCCTGTTTTCGGGTCTCTGTGGACCATTGACGCCGTCTGTGCCTTGACTGTGATGCCTCGTTCTCTCTCTACCTTTAAATTGTCGAGGAACTGGGCGCTCTCACGCTCCTGACGAGAAATATTACCACTTGTCTCCAACAACCTGTCTGCCAGAGTCTGCATTAAAGAATGAGTTAATTCCAATACACCAGCACCTAGAGATCATCATAGTACACTCCATTCTGACGTTTTAGCGTCTTGAACGCACCGATTTGCCGTGGTCGATGTGCGCCACGATGCTAAAGTTGCGGATGCGTTCGGGCAGGAATTCTTCCAGCCGCTCAGACATGTAAGGTCCCACAGTTTTAGGTGTAAGAACCTCACCCTCGTTGACGTCCCTCGAGGCCGTAGCGAGCCCGCGCATGCGCAGCGGAGCTGCCGACAGGGCTCGTAGCGCCCGACGTCGCACCGCCAGCATGCCTGAACCGGTTGTGTGGCTACGGACTGCAACTTGGTCGCACCATATGGCTCTTTCAGTTGCGCTACAAGCAACTTAAGTTGTTTATGTTGCAATAACCGTTAAACAGAAAAAGAAATGATGGGCAAATTCCGACGCTCTGGACCTTTTTGAGACCGTGAGCAATTCGATGGAGCACCGAGAGGAGCTCGATGAGTTTGCGATGAATGCAGAGCTCGGAGGACCTTTCGACGACTTCGGCTGTGCTGAGGACATGCCTTTGAGCGATGAGGTGTTGGATTTACCGGATTTGGAGCTTTTGCTGCCTTCGGATGACCTTGGCGACGAGCTGCTGGATTCGCTGCTGTCTGACGCTGCGAGCGAGCTGAATAACGATACTGCAAAAGAATCCGGAGAGGAGGGCGGAAGGCCAGCAGAACCAGAGGATGACTCGTCGGTCTTGACGCCAGAGGAGCAGGAACTTGAGCTGGTTGCAAGTGAAGTCAAATATCTAGAGGCGCAAAGAGATTTCTTACAGTTTAGGGCGGATGCCACTGCGAACGGTTCGCAATGTGAGGGCAAGGAGAGTGAACGTGACGGGGAGGTGGAGGAAGAGAAAAACAAATTGGAGAGGGCAACCAGACAGCAAAATATGCTGGTTGACACCATCAATCTGCACAAGCAGAGCATGGAAGACGTGCATCGGTTGATGATCCAGGCCTCGCCTTTGATGCACTACGTGAGCACTTGTTCAGTTTATTGACTTGTTGTGGAAATGACAAGCGTATTGACGAATGTTTGTGCTTGTAAATACAGCGCATGACGCTGATGACGCCGATGGAATCGTTTATTCGTCTGGGCAAGGACCCTGCTGAACGCCGCAGCAAACTATTGGAGATGCGAGACGAGAAGCTGGACACCGTTCGACGGTTCGTCGCGGCGCAGACTCGTGGGATCGACCCGACTCGCGAGTTCTTTTACGTGGACACTTTCGAACGTTTCGGCAAATTCTACACCGTGGACTTTAGCGTCTCGCTGGTTAACAACATGACTGTGGACGAGGTGGCCGAAGTGATCCAGGACCAGTTCGTCGTGCCGCGTGACGGCGTCTCGCGCCTGTTGGGCTGCGTCACTAACCGCACTTACTACGACGGCATGGTAGATACCTTCCTACACGCGCGAACAGTGGAGCGCGTGGACTTACCGGAGCGCTCGTGCGTCGGTCGCAGCTTCTTGGTACAAGAGTCTAACGCTGTCTTCTACTTAAAAAGGTTCGCGGCTAGCGAGCTGGACGGCTCCGACGGCGAACAACCAGGCGAGCAGGGCGACCTGACGGTCATGATGAGCGATTTCGTGGACGTGGACGAGTTGCATCCTTATCATGGAAACCGTGTGAGGAAGGACATATCGGTAGGTATCACGTTACGGCGCCACGTCGGGCCCGGCGGTGCGGAAGGTGTCGTGATGCGGCGCTTCTCCTTCGTCAAACATCATCTCGGCCGTCGGACCACAAGACCCGAAGTGGTGAACACCATCTCGACTCGAGTGCTACTTTGGGGGCAAGCAGTGCGCCTCTGCATCGCAGAGCGCCGTCGACAGAAGCGAGATGCTCCAAAGCGCATCTGGAACACTCATACGTTCCCACGTCGAGCACCGAGCGTGACACCGTCGTCACCACAATCTAGGACGGCCTGTGCCGGTGCTGATCAGTAATTTATTCGTTTAAGCTCGTCGTGAAGAAGAGATGCAACATACAACGCTTGTTAGTCCACAAGTTGCGCGTTCCATTTCGGTGAGCATCTTCTGGCCATCCGTGGCGTACCGTTTAACGATGTACTCAAGGTCTCTCATTGCACTTACTCTAGCTGTACGCTGTACATGTTCTTTATTGCTCCTTGCGCTTTCTGCCATGGTAGCACTGTTAGAGGTCTGCACGTCCGCAGACCCTAGCATTTAGAGGGTGTTGAAGTCCAAGCATATACACGCATGCACGGATTACTATTCCAACTTGTTCGGCGAGGAGATACGGAGGCAGGAATGGAGACTGGGAAGTGCTGGACACGCGCCTCTATCTCGAGATAGGAGTCAGCACTTCAACACGGCCGCGTAGCATTCCAGTCGCGATATTCATGGCCGGCACAATCGAATCGCAGCCGCTTTCAGAGCACAAGATTTTGATTTCAATTCGAAGAGAGCACGCGGTCAGTTGGTCCCCATCTTGAGACCTCCTCGCCGTAGATTCTTTGGCAAAGAATCTTCAAACGATGGATGCTCACGTTGAGTCCGCGCCGAAAGAAGCCGGACCAACTTGCCCAACGCGCAGTGAAATGCCGGTTCGGACCGCGTTGCGGTGGCTGGTGGTGCTCGCACGGCATGCGGGTCAAATCTCCCGCGGTCGATTTTTTTTTTATAGGATCCCTTCCGGATTCTGAAGCCATTCGGGAAGCAGACCATTAAGTGAAGCCCAATGTCGCGTTTCCACGGGGCCATACGTTGCTGGCCGAAGATTCCATGTTATGACTCATCGGTAAGCTATGCCTCGGCCGGTGAATGGCGCCGGTGCAGCCATTTGTCGCTTGGCGGGGTTTCAGCGGTTTTGCTTGTCATTGCAAGGGGCACAGAAGGTCCCACTGCTTGACTGGAGGAGGACGGTTTTCTGTTTGCGGAGGTCCACTTCAAATCGAGTGTATCCTCTCGCTAGTGTACGTTCAGGCAGACTACCGCGAGAGCTCCGGTTCGCAGGCTGCAATGGCTGGCTTCCCATCAAGTTTGGCCAAGCCCGCTTCCGGCTCCGGCTTGGGGCCAGCGCAGGTAGGTATCCATCCCATCGAGGTGCGAGATCACGAGGATTCCACTGCAGTGACATCCGTAGAATTGAAAGCGTCGCAACATTCAACTAAGCGCGTCGAGGTAATATACTTCCACGATGGCAACTGAGCCACTTGATACGCTGGATAACGTTACTTTGGTGCAGACGCCATCTTAGTCGCTGCCACGGTTCTCATTTCATTTCGGTGGAAGAACAATGCCGACATCCATCCGTACAAAAGGCTCAACTCCGCTTTGCCACATCGGCTGGAGCTGGAGGCTGCCGATGTATGCGTCGCCTTCTGATAAGTCGGGCAAGATCCGGAAGCTTCAAGATGAGCAGCAAGTTCATCTTGGTGCGTCTCACCGCTGCAAAAGCATCCGCTTTGTCAGAACATGCTTGCAGGAGAATTCGTTGATGTTGAAATAGTGACCCGCGCCAGTATCGTGATCAGTTTTCCTTCGCGTTTGTATGGTATCCTAGCCAAGACAAACCTGTGCTTTGAAAGCACCAAGCAGGACACATCGGGCGAGCTCGGAATTCGGTGAGGATTCGCATCCACTGGTGCAGAGACTGCCGTCGCCGGCCAAGAAACGCACTGCAACCCGTCTCGTCACACTTCGGGCAACCCGCAGACTTGCAAGCTCCCGACCGGATCTCCGCCAAGCCTCCTCGTGTCGCACGACACGTCTGAAGACTGGCAGGGCAATTGTAGCCATCATTGGCTGTGGCCACCGCGCCGCCGGAGCGTCCACATCTCGCAGGAGCAATGTTGCAGCAGCAAGTGATGCAGTCCTATCCGTGTTCCAGTGCACCCATCTATCGATCACCTCGGCGTGGTTTATGCATCGAGGTCGAGCCAATAGCCTCGGGTATTAAATGTACAACGGCCGTCACCCGGAGCTCAAAGCTTCAGCCGGCTAAAAGCTCTGGCCCGATCGTCGTATGTGGATGCTGTCGACGCAGCGAGCCATTACAACGAGCGAGCGTGTGCCTCATCGAGGCATCAGCGTGATCGCGCTGGAGCTGGCAGTAGTCGCAGCTCCAGTCCACTGTGGTGACAGCTGTGGGCTTCACAGTGCAACTTACCTGTCAGACACAATAGTAACGGTTTTTATTTCGCACACTCCAACGGCGTTGTATCAGATATGCAATTTCATAAATTAGTACCTCGTATAAATAGATCAATCAGTTTTCGCGACTGCCATACCAGTGTGTGAAGACGACGGCATTCGCCTTGGAGCACGCACGGCGCAGACACCTCTGTCGAGCGAGCCTTATGCCACGGCGTTGGATCTTGCCTCATCTTATCTTCCGCCAGCCGTACTTGAGCCATGCGCGTTTCATACGGCGAGTTTTAACAACCACGCGCAACGAAATACCATATTTTGAACTCTGTGCTGTCATTGACAGAGCCACCTGTTCATCTGCGAGTTGCAACACCAAGCGGATGAAGTTCTATGCTGTCGCTATTTACACAGTAACAGCATTGAAATAGCTCCCGCCCGATGTTCGTAGTGGCGCGGCGGGTGTGTGTCCTGCCTTCTGGAATGCTCGTGCCACTGCCGAAGGACTGCAAGTCACACTTGTTGCATTTGGCCGCCGGCACCCCTCCCACTTGGCCCGTCCACGCATTGACCTGCTGGCATACAGCAAATGCAAAGCCAGGAGAAAGATCCCTGTCTGCAATGCTCCTCACCTGCACAAGAGGCCAGTCAGTCAGACCTTCACGACGGCGGCGGGAAGAGACCGTCGAGGCCATCAAAGCTCCAGTTCAATGGTCATTACAGAATTCAACGCCTCGAGCACAAGTGAGCTCCGAACTCTTTACAATGGTTGCCATCTCGATCTCAACGCAGTCGGCCCAGTCCATCGTGGGTCTCAGTAGTGAGCCTGCCACGGGCATCAACAAGTGCAGGTACAAGACCGGCAAATGCACCAACGTGCGCTCCAGCAAGCGCAACGGCCAGCCGCACCAACTGTGCCTGTACCACCGCGACAAGGCCAACAAGATTCAGCGCAAGTTCGACCGCCAGAAACGCCAGGTCGCGCGCTCCAAGAAGGCCCACGGTCTCTCCTCCCCGACTTCTATTTCGATGCTGGACATGGCCGCGCTTGCGGGTCTCACCCCCATGTCCGAGCCGGCCGTGTCCCCCGCCGGATCCACTTACTCGACGTCCTCTGACATGTCCTTCTCGTCTGTCGCCTCGGACGATGTCATGTACACACCCGACTCGCTGGACTGCGGTCTGAACGAGAGCGTGTGGACGGATCTCCCGGTTGCTGCCGCTTCCTACCTCGGCGAATACTCGGACATGCCTCTGCCTACCAGCTGCCACCAAAGCTACTTGTCTTCGGACGAGATCGACTTCCTGTGCTCTGCCGTCCTGGAGTGAACGAGCTAAGAGGAGCATCGTCTCTCTCAGTTAATATGAGGGGGAGACGTCTCCTGCGCTCAGACGAACCCGGTTGGCAAGTGCTGCAGTCGGCTTCACCGTATCGAGCGTGGCACATTAATTAGAGCATTGTGGCAGTAGCGTAAGTAGACTTGAATGAGTAGTGACAGTGTGTATAAAGGTCGAGTGACAAAATGAATATCTATCATCTTTACTTTTTTTTCTCAATAGTCTTAGGTTAATTGACGCATCTCGCGTCAAAAATGGCAACGGATGCAGGCGCTTCCCAATTTGGCGCGATATCGGCACGGACATTGCGATGGCGCGGAAGTGCGGAACCGTCGCTGGAGGTTTCAGGGCAATTGGAGGTGGCAGGCAAAAGCGGCTCAAGGGCTTACCTGGGAGGCTCGCTATAACGGAGGCCTGTGTGTGTTTAAGCTGCCACCGCGACGGTGACGCCAATGATCCACGGCATCTGCCGTCTTTATCTCCACGTCAAACCACCACAAGCTGAAGTACTAGGAATCGACAGCAGAATTTTTTTTAACCAGAACAGTGCAGAGGGAGGTTACCGCGAATCGATCGGGGCTCGGAACGGTAGAGTGCCATGCACCGGGCCACGCCGTCTCCGGCGCCGCGGCATTCGACCCCATCACCGCCACCGGGAACTACCAATGAGGCAATGGCAGAGGCCATCGCGGCGGCGTCAATTCTAAGTGCCAACCAGTTCAAGCTGCTGTACCTCATCAGTCTGTACGCTGTGGCGTCCAATTCTACTCGACAAAATGAACGCTGGATTCGACACGTACCGTTGCTGGTACTAATGTTTGAAGGCATCCTGTGTGACGCCTTCGATTTTGACTATGCTCCAGCTTCAATGCGCCTATCCTTCAAGGGCAAGACGCTGCGACGCTGGATAAACTTTTCACGAGAAGGCAAAGCGGCGATCGATGATCTCTGGGCGCTGCGACTCATTAACGGGCTTAAACTCTCTAGTGACGACTTCCAGCCCATTACAGCGTACCAGGTATCGATAAAAGGTCAATTGGCACTACGGTTGCTACCTCGATACTTCCAGGACACAGTAGATGCCTACCTATACCCACCAGCACCACTAGAGCGACGACTGCTTGTTGTACGATATGATGGTCAACACTTTGTGCTGCGTTCGGGAGGCTACAGCAAGCGGAGCAGTATTACGGAGAGTGACGATGTGTCGTATGTATCAAGTCCGTTCTTACCACGTTGTCTTCGGTCACGGTCTGGTGGATACTACAAGGTTCAGGAGCGAAGTAATGCCGATCGCGCTCGAGAGTGCGCTTTGGGGGCTACAAGCATCACTAAGAAGACGTCAGAAGCCCTAACGTTAGGAGATGTGTACGCACTCATCGGTGAGTGGGTTCCGTTTGGAACGAACCAAATTGTGGCGTTGAACGAGCGTATGGGAGTGCTTGATCGCTGTCAGGGTGGGATTCTCACGAGTTGTGTGGACAGCAATCCCACTGACACGCAGTTTCGAGTCCCAGTAGGACAGACACAGGTTCGCGTTCTTGACTACGACTTTGTGCGCTTTACGAACTTTGAGGCGGAGAGCCACTTCCCAGAGACCCCGGGGATCGTACAGATTGAGAACTTTGGGATGCACTTGAATAGCGATGGCTCGCTCATTTACGGCATCAAAGTTGAGGCCATCATGGATCGTTTGGGCGACGATGTAGCCATTGACCATCTCTCGCGGTTACTAGTGGATGTACATCAGGACTCGTCCATGCTGGTCAACGATCTACTGTCGCGCTACCAGTTGAGTCTACTTGAAATGCTTTATCTTGGGGATTCCTTTCAACGCAACAAGTACAACTGTATCCTTAGCAAGCAGATACAGCCGAAGTTACCGGCTCAAGCCTATGTAAGCGACCCACGATATGCAAACGAACTGGCTCAAGTACTGGGAGACATCCAAGCTAGCCACGACTTGACTCCGGACGACGTGCTAGTTGTCGGTAAAGCCGGATGTCTTTTCTCCGGCCCCAATGTTTTTCGATATGAACATGTCTTTACGTCCTACGTCGGGCTAGTGTGTCGTGATATCTTCATCAAGAACTTCTTCGCACGAACATTTGTACTAGACGCAACGCTGAAAGAAATCCGCCAGCTCATTCACAGAGTCCATCGCGAACCGGCAACGGTATTACTGGTCCGCGAGAAGCTTTCAGCGGTCTCAAAAGACACGATCCTGCTAGCGGAGACGCTTGAGTACCTCTTAGACTCGCTTGAAAACGTCGATCTCTCGCCTTCTCTTTGCTCCGATGACTTAGAAGATAGTGGAGACGATGCAGTTAGAAGGAGAACATTTCTCGGATCTCCAGAGTCCGATGTAGACGCGAAGTTATTCCAAGTATTAGCACTGCCTCAACTCAAAGCACAGACGATCATGCGGTGCCACGACTCGATCAAGCTGATGGAAAACACAATGCTTCAACTGGAGCAACTCCAAATGATTGCTGAGTCGACT